CCCCCCCCCCCCCCCCGTCCCCAGTCATTAAGATAGGGTGAGGCTGAAATCCAGTAAATGTGAATGTTAGCATATGGGGAAGTATTGTTTTGGGACCCTGGGAGTTATTTTGGGGGAGTGTTGATTTTTATTGTTTTTATGTATGTTCTTATCACTGTTGTGACCATATAAGCCTCTTAAGTAAATACATCTTTAATATTGGCCGAATGACAGCATCCAAAGAATGGTTAATGGTTGCTCTTTAGAGTAGAAGAAAATATTCAAGGGAGTGCCCAGGGCTCTGTGCTGGTCTCTGTTATTCAGCATTTTTATCAATGGTTTGGATGGGGAGTTGATAGGACATTTATAAATTTTGCAGCTGACACAAAACTGGGAGGTGTGGCTGATACTTTAGTTGAATGAGAGGAGATTCCAAAAAATCTAGACGGGCTTGAACAGTGGGCTGAAATGAACATGGTGGAATTTAACAGGGAGAAATATGTTCTGATCTGGGTAGGGAAAAGGCACAAATATAGGATGACAGAGACCTGACTTGGCAGTAGTACCCATGAAAACAAATTAAACATGAACCAATAGTGTGCTGCAAGTACAAATTGTATTGTGGGGTACATTAACAGGAGCCTGGAAACCAGATTGGGAGAAGTAATGTTTCCAACTTTATAGTGCCTGGTCAGATTCCATTGGAGTAGTGTGTCCCGTTCTGCACCCTGCAGTTCAAAAAAGACGGACAAAATGGAGCAAAGGGTGAGAGGTCTAGAAACCAAACTCTATGAGGAATGTTACAGAAAAGATGACAGAGATCCAAAAGTTGTCACATAGAAGAACACATAGATGTATCCTGTGTTGTTGGAGAGGGCAGGACTAAAACTACAGTGTAGTAGATTAAAATTAGAGAAAGCAGGTTCGGGCTAGACATTAGGAGAAACTTCTGAATTGTACAAGTTGTTAGTGGAACAAGCTGTCAAATAAAGTTGTGAGTTCCCTTTTCCTTGAGGTCTTCGAACAGGCTGGATGATCACCTGTCACAGATGCTCTAGTGGATCCTGCACTGCGCAAGGGGGTTGATTAGATAACCTCCAAGATCATTTCCAACTTCATTATTCTGTGATCCTCTGAGATGTATGCTAAACCAGCCAGTCCTTAAATTGTAGTATTATTCTTGTGTTAGCCTGCTAGTGCTACTTTTTTAAAAATGGAAGTGCTGTCTCTTTGTATGTTATAATACTGTATATCACATCCGTATAGCTGGCATTTCAAGAGATCAAAGCTGTGAACTTCATTGTCATTTTTAAGTTCTGTTCCCTTGACGATAGATAAAAATGGCTTTTGAAGTACGAAATACCTTCCTGCCTGCAGAATATAGCGATGATGCAATTTTCTGTGAATTTGGATCGAACTTTATTTTGCAGCCAAGTCAGAAGCTGCAAAGTACTCCATCTTTGCAAAGAATGTGTTGATTTGGTTTTGCTTCTTGAACAAAGACTTGGTGGAGACATCTAATTGTCCTGTTTGTAAATCCATCTGGTATATCCCAGTAGATAACTAAGTATGTTTACCTGAGGAAATGGGGACCTCTTTACCGTGGTATAAATATTTACTTGTGACCTTTTTCTTTAAGAGGTTTTATCAGGACTTTAAAACAGGGCAACTTCACCATTTTTAGCCCAATTGTTTTAAAAAGTACAGTAGAACATACTGGACCAAGATTTGAAATTTCAGGACTTAGTAGCAATAACATTTTATGCAAAACTGAATTAATATTCTGAAAAACTGTAGAATTCCTCAAATTAAATTGTTTCCTTCCCTTATGGTGGTAGTGCCACTGAAGAACTATCAGGAGCCTTATTCTCACGCTCTGGTTATGCTGTCCCTGCCTCCCACAAACCTAGAGTGAAAAGTTGGGAAGAGGCATTGAAGCCTGTTCATCCAGTTGTCTTCTCTGATCAGAATGCTAATGGCATGGCTTTGGGCTACATTGCTCCTTGGCAAAATTAACTGCTTGAGTGCAGCTAGTTCTTCCAGCATAAATGTGGCCATCACAGCACTGATTTTAGAAACTGAGTTCTCTGTGATCCGGATGAATCTAGCCTTTTCCCACTCCTATTAATTGTAAGGTTTGGAGAAAATAGTTTTCATCAAGTTTGTCTTGAGAGGGAGATTAAACTACGCACCTTCACAGACACCTTCCAAGATACTCCTTCTGCTTGAAAAGTGTAGACATGTCAATTGCATTTAATTAACTCATTATTTTGCTCTCAAACATTCAATTTTGAATCATTGAAAGAAATGCACATGAATTTAAAATTAGAAGTCACATTGTCAAGAGTGCTAAATGTTAACACAAAACTGCTTTCCATTCTGACTCTGCTTCAGCTTGAGTCACAAACCATCACAAAGGTGCTCTGGAATTCACTTAGAACAAGCAACATCCTAAGCTGTGCTTTTTATTCTTATATTCAGTTGGTTAGATAAATGATGCATAAGAATTTAATTCCCCTCACCCCATCTTCAAATAAACAGAAGAGTGTTCTTTTGTGAAGATGTCTGTAGAAGGTCAGGAAGATCCCCTTAGTCTATAGCAGTCTTTCTCAACTTTTTTACCCTGGAGGAACCCTTGAAATAATTTTCAGATCTTAAGGAACCCCTGCATAAAAATACAAAAACTTCACAGTACAATTCACTTCTACTCTACACTATCCACATTTTATGACATTTACAACAACAGCAAAGTAGCAGGCCAGCAGCTGACTTGTGTGAAAATTCCCATCATGATGAGCTATAGTGTTGCTATACACTATACACAAAGTTCAAAAAACTATGTTTATTTCTTTTTCTATCATGATCTCTTGCAGAACCCCAGCTGAGAAAGACTAGTCTATAGCCTGATGTTCACAGGTCATGATTATCAAATGCCACTGCTAAACAGGATGTTGTAAATAATGTTTCTTAATCAGAAGTGTGATTAAGTATTTATCTTAATATAGAGCATAACAGCTGTTGTTTTTTTTAAAGTCCCCTCCCCACACACAAATTTCTTATGTCTCAGATACAAACAGTTAGTGTAAACTTAATTGCTTTTCAATGCCTAATTATCCAGACAGGATGGTTGGAGGGGCCATTTTGTATTCCTTTGGTTATATACTTGCCAGAACAGGTGGTACATGCTGATCTGGATATTCTCTTTACTGAAATGGATATTCACTTGAATACCCCTTTTCTCCCCCCTTCTGTTTGTGTTGCCATAGGAGCTGAAACTGCCGGTCTACAAGGCCCATTCTCCGCAAATTGAAAGACGACGCTATTTTGCTCACCTCCTTACTGTCCTCAGCAGCCGTTGCCAACTTTGTCCCACAGCTCGGCACCTTGCCATCTACTTGCTGGACCTTTTTATGGACCGCTATGATGTCACTGTCAAGCAGTTGTATGTCATTTCAGTTGCATGTCTTCTCCTTGCAAGTAAGTCACCTTACCCAATGATATATAAATCTTGCAATAAGATTTGGGTGGGGAAGGTTGTTTCCCTACCAAATGCACTGAGAAAGCCAATATAAATTTAGCATTGTAATGCATCTTACCAGACAGTTGCCTTTAAGACAGAATCTCAGCAATCTTTGGGCTTGAATTTCTTTCAGCTTCTTGTTGCACAGAAATGATTGTTCAAATTACTGTCCAGCATAGCCAGAACTATGCTAGAGAATGCTGTGTATTCAGTGTGGTGGCCTTTAGATATTACAGTAATGCCATGAGAGGTATTTTTAGCCAGTCCATTACTATGATATTGAAAGACCAAAAGCAGAAGCTAAGCTAGCCTTGTATTTATGGCTGAATATCTCCCAGACCCTTTTACTGTTGACCATCCTGCCTGGGGCTGCTGGGGTTGTAGTTCAGCAAACACCTGCTTCTCCATGGCTTCTCTAACTCTTAAGACTCTAACACATCCCTAGAAGTCTTTAGAAGCAATGCCAACATTTTTAACAGATTGCTTAGACAGATGTATTTCAGAGTTGTAACAGACATTGACTTTTTCAGATTGTTAGGTCTTCATTGGAAAGCTGTCATGGTACTAAACCAATTAAATACACAACCATTTTGAGCAGGCTGTTTAAGGAGGGTGTCCCCTATGGTTGTTGGTGCAGTTAGATTCCAAAAGATCAGTCTGAGAAGGAGATAAGCAACTGCTAATAAAACAACAAAAGCAAGCAAAGGGATCAGAGTGTTGTGTCTTGTGGTATCTATTGTCTGCCCTTTGTATTCTATTCCCGCAAAACATTTTTTACATGTTGATTTTGATCCTACAAGCCAGAAAAATGCTGATTGCATATGCAAGAAACTTAAACAAGAAGGAAAAAATACTTCTATAATTTTTATTAAAATAGAATATGATCAGAATTTTTGAAGTCAATAATAATTTAACGATTAGTACAAAATGAGTAATCCTCTGGTGGGGCTCTGATCCAATTCTTGAGAAATCAGAATTCTAGCTTGTCAGGAATGCATACATTTTGTGGTACACAGGGACATTCAGACCAAACCCCTGAGCTTTCACCTGAATATGGAAATGGGATATTTCATCCATATCCCAGCAGGCTCACTCAATAGCTACTTCCGAAACCTGGATGAAGCGCTTCGGGGGGCTCTGCAGTAGAAAGGAGCAACTGAAAGATTGGGGGTCATGACCAATTATCTTGAGATATCTAGACAACTACTAGATAGCAGCAAAGAGATCCAGAAAGTGCTGAACCTTCGCTCCCATCTAGTGATTGTTTGCAAGCCAGTTGTAATAGTCCTAAATTATCTGGATCGTACCTGATAAATTTTAAAGCTTTCTATATCAGTGTTTCTCAGTCTCAGCAACTTTAAGGGAATGCTGGCTGGGGAATTCTGGGAGTTGAAGTCCACACCTTTAAAGTTGCTGAAGTTGAGAAACACTGTTCTATATCAATATAATAAAAAATAAAAGTATTGCTTAATGAAGAATGCATTTGCAGCCAGTACATCAAATTTTAAATAATTTGTATATAGTGCTGTATATATAAGGTTATGTACTGCACACTGTTAAGTGATTCTGGCTTTTTAAAACTTCTTGGCGAAATAGATTTCAATCGGTTTATCCTAGCCTAACTGGTATGTAGGTAATCCTGTAGATTCGGAGTAGTTCTAAGGCAATATTAGGAATTTTTCCTGCATTTTTGTGCTAGCCAACAGCTTCAGTTTTTAATTTTAAATTGGTCAAAATTTAGCTTACCTTGGTTTTTATTATAATTGGTTAGATAGAATGAAAAGTTGGTAAATGCTTGGTTACCTTTAACAAAGTTCTTTCTGAACTTTTGGGGTAGAATCCTTTTGCCTACTCCATATATCTTTATATAAGAATGTGTGCATTTTCATATACAAAATGCTAATAAGGTGGGTAGTAAGCAGGCAAACTTTTATTTCAGGATAACTGCATCAGCACATGGTTTTGACTCCATGGTGAACAAGAAAAATTAAGGGATGATTGGAGTTTAGCAGATAATAATTTTTGCACATACCTCTTTATTTTTACACAGGATTACCCTTGAGGCTTGGAGGGTTTTTACAACTCTCTCTTTTTTTCCCTGACCCTTTTGAGGATAGATGGTGTTGCTTTACTGTTACTGTTTTCTTTCTCTCCCTCCCTCTCCCTCCCTATCCACCCCCACCCCCCAGTATATGTGAGTTTGTGTTGTTTTGGACTTTATAGAATGGAAAGTTTGGGAACTAGGAGGCAAACCTTACAGCTTATTTATTTTTACATTCAGTGTTCCAAAGAAAGAAAGCAAGAAGATTAAATTTATATCTATTATTGGTGCAATATTTCTGAATATATACTTCAAAATTCATGCACAGTTATGTGCAGAATGCTACATATTTAAGAGTTTACATTGGTTGTGTTTAGCTAGCGTAAGAAATTCATGCTACAAAAGCAAACCTATATTGGTTCCTTCCCTTCCTTCCCTTTCATGCTTCAGAGTATAACATCTGAATCTGAAACTGGGATATGTTTAATGAGAAAAGGTAGAACGTGGTTTCAGATCCGTCTTATAGTTCCACAAATTCAGACATAATGGGACTGTGGTTTGTTTTAATAGCAGAAAGAAAAGTTCCCAGTCTCTTGTATCAATGAGGATTGGTGGCAATGAATCTACAGATGGCTTAAGCATATATTATAGTGGTGTAGGATGGATGTGGGCCTTGAATCAAGCTCAGTGTTTTAATCTTTCCTTACATTAGGCAAATTTGAAGAAAAGGAGGATAAAGTGCCCAAACTAGAACTGCTGAACAACTTTGCTTACATGTGCAGCCTTAACCTAGCGCTTACAAAAAAAGACCTACTGAAGATGGAACTGTTGCTCCTGGAGAGCTTCAACTGGAATTTGTGTCTGCCAACCCCAGCGCACTACATTGACTACTACCTCTTTGCCTCTGTCAGTGAGGGTGACCTCCACAAAGGCTGGCCCATCACATCTGTAACCAAGTTCAGAGCCATCATGGAGAAATACTCTCACTCATTCCTAGAAGCTTCACTGCAAGGTAATGATTGGATTTTGGTTAGGGTGAGCAATGTTTGAGATGTAGGAGGCCTCAGCTTAGCCTCCTAAGCTTCTTGAGGACCAAAGAAGGCATCATGTCCCAGGAATTAGGCCAGGGGTCCCCAGACTTCAGCTCATCAACCCCTTCATAAAATTTCAGATTGTTCATCAACCCCCGTACATTTATTATATGAAAACAATGTAATAAATACTATTTTAACTAATAGTATTATGAATAATAATAAGAACAACCACTTGAATAGTCTCATTGACCTTTGGGGGTCAGTATTGACTACTTTGGAAAACCCTGGATTAGGCTGAACATTTTAAGCTAAGCACTTTTTTAAAAAATGGGAATATGAGAATGGGAAGAAGAGGCCACTAGGAGGCAGTGTCATGCCTCCAGCCATTTTAGAAAAACTCTCACTCAGTCCATGATCCAATTCTATGATAATAACTTTGGAGAGCTGAGGTTCTTGGGTTTCTTTCTCTTTAGAGTTAATGAAAGTTTGAGGACAGCTAAAGCTACATTTTCTCAATTCTTCCTAAGCTATTCAAGGATATAAAGTCACAAATAATGATTTCCTTGTTGTGAAATATTGGCAGGGTGATCTACTGCATATTTGCTTGAAGATTAATTTCATTGGTGATATTCATAGGACACAACTTACTAATCTCCTGTGCAGTTACCCACATCACATGATTACCAGTGTTCTGTGAAATGAGGGGGCAGTCTCTCTAGAAGTCAGGTGTTATATAAAGTTAATACATCATCATCATCATCATCATCATTATTGTTATTATTGGTCACACAAGTCAGCCAGATGTTTAGACTGGATCTGGCATTTTTTTCCACTTATCAAGTCCTTCCCAAGGAGCTGGGATAAGCAGATGTTGTTTGATGGTGTTAAAGATATCATCGCAGGATGTAAGCTGTTCCAAGTAAAGCTGCCTTTTGCA